CCAGCCATTCTTTCATGCTGTGCAAGGACCTCATGTTGACGTCTGATGCAGGTCACTTGCCACCACTGCATGCGCAGCGTACACTCTGAACTTCAAGTAGCAGCAAGTAGCACTTGCTGGTGGGGTCTTGTCTCCAGCACCTTCAGCCTTGATCAACAGTCCACCCGAGGCCTCAGTCTTCATGAGAACGGGTAACTTGACCATGATTGATCTTCGTCTATACAGAAAAGCTGGCGTACAGTACACGTGCCCCGTGAAGTGTTTTGTTGGCTTTGACACAGCCGCCAAGGACGCACATCCGCTGTTTTTGCTACGCCGTGGATACTTCGTCAGGATTCGCTTCAGAGTTGTCGATCAGATCAGACCCACAGCTTCTGTGTTGCGTGCAAGTGGGCATGCTCCACTGCAGATTCGCGAACTGAACGTTCTGAGTGCCGCAGGCGCTTTGCGCAGTTGCATGCACACTCACACAACACGAACTTCTCCTTCTCAACCAGGGTCGTGATGGACTCGTTCGGCCATGCAGGCTCTTTGTTATCCTCTGCGTCTCTGAATTCCTGTCTGCTAGGCAAAGGCTCTCGCCCAGACAAAAAGACTTCATCCTGTAAGGCAGGTGACTTGCACTTTCGTCACCCAAATTTCTGCCTGCGAATCTGTAACTTTGCGCATGGATTGTCCTGAGGTCAACCAACAGCTTGTTGGTTGACCTGGTATGACATGATGGCAAGCAACGTGCCGCGCGTTCCGGCAGCAACTTGATCATTTTCCTTCGTAGTCAGTTTCAATGGCATATCCAAGTGCCGTCTCACTCTATTTATGGTTTATGGTTTAAACTCGTCTCGAATTGGAGACTCAGACGTAGACGGCTCTCAAGCCAACGGCACGCTCGCTACATCTTGAGCCTGAGCACTTGTCGCGTCCGAGGTCAACGAAAGCTAGCCCTGTTTAACCACTTGAGTTCAAAAGGAGGGAGGTTTGATGTAAGCCCCCCCCACACATAATCTGCCCAGTGTTGCTTGCTGCAAGAGCAGTGAACACAACCGAAGGGGCAGCGAGAACGGAATTATTGCAAACTGCGGCCTTGCTGGCAACGAGCAGTTAAGATCACGCATCACGACCCTGTTTGCTGAGTGGCCAGCACAGCTTCTGCAGCTGGATCTTAGCTGCTTCTCGCGTGTCCTGTTGTCGCTCAGAGTCGCTCGTGCTGGCCTCAAGCTTTGTGAATGTGCTTCGGTCGGTCCTGCTCCAGAGCCTCATTTTTTGCACGCTTCTTGCACAACAGCACCTTCAGTTCAATCTTGAACAGCTTGTCTTCAGGATTGCGGGTCGATCTGCAAGATTGTCAAGTTAAGACAAGCTGAGGGATGAACGCCCGCAATGCAATCAATGAGAGGACTTCGTGGATGAAAGCACTCCTTTGCCATCGCACCAGCAGACAGCAAATCACTCCTTGCCTTTGCATGCCATTCATGGGTTCTGTGTGTCCTCAAATTCGGGCAGTTCCTCCAAGCCAGCACCCTGCTAATGCAAACGCACGTTACTGGCTTGCCCGCAATGTAATGGACATGGCAATTGGGCATGGTCCACCTTGGACGAGTTGCGGGGTGACAGCTGCTTCTCCAGAAATGCCTGTGACATCTTCTTGTTCGGAGGCATCTGCCGAAGACATGCCTGACCTCGCAGTAGACTTTCTGGCTTCTCGTGCCCTTGGTGTTACCTTCGAAGATAGGCCTGAACGGGCGCAACAGTTTCGTGGTCGAAAATCGGCAGGCAAAGGTCCCGACCTCTCCGAAAGGATCACTTCGCCTGCCTCACGCCAAAGTATGAAGGGCCTTCCCGGAGAGAAACTGAAGGCGGATGCCTTCAAGGCACAGCTCGCCCGCAGGAACCGCCTTAGCAACGAAGCTGCGAAGCACCGAAGCAGATTCCTTGAGAGGCCTTGAGCTGAGAGCACTGCCCCTTCTCTCCATCCACCTCGAGTTGGCTTCTGCAGGTTATTGTCACGATTCTCACAATTGCAATCCGGATCCGGAGCCTGCCTTCAGCTGCACTTTCTTCGACGTCTTGCCCACGTACTTCTGAATCTGCAAGCAGTCAAAGATCCAAAAATATGCTGTCTCGACGGCATGCTTCTCAAGCCAGGCGACATGGACACGCTTCGCTGGGACGGACTTTATGTTCTTCGGAAAACGCCGTCAATGCTCTACTACTGGAAGCTACTGCAATTGGTTACCTCCATCACTCGGAGCCATTCTCAAGGCCTCTTACTCTCGACAGGCCCAGCTGCGCCATGGCATGTGCTGCCGCTGCGCGAACCATGGGCACTTCATCTGTCTGGCAAGACTCGATCTCGTCAGCAAAGGCTGCTCCGTAGTCGCCAAACTTTCCGAGCGCCTCGCACGCAGCTGCCCGAGCGTGAGGATCCTGGTTTCCGAGCTCTGCAGCAATGGCACTTGCGTAGCCCTGTCCCACGGTGTCCATGCTTGCCAAAGCTCGCAGCGCTGCGGCTCGAACAACACCGTACTCGTCCTCTAGGCACTTGAACACCTGCGAGCAGTACTTCTTGCCAATGTCGGGACAGCTTGCCAAAGCTTCCAAGGCAGCTTCTCGCACTGAGGGCGCTTCATCTTTGAACAAATCAGGAAGATTATCCATCACGTCTTGAGCTTGGAGGGCTGCGATGGCCTGGCAGGCCTTCAATCGAACGATGTACACATCATCTTCCATGGTTGCCATGATGCTCGTCGATTGCTTGCTTGCAGCTTCACCCATCTCCATCAGTGCCTCCAAAGCACATAGCCTCACCTCGTAGGCCTTGTCTCTTAGGCACATGGCCATGTCTGACACATGGCTGGTTGCGTTCATGAGGGCGAGAGCTGCTAGCGCAGCACATTTGGGACGGCGAAGCGTCGCCGGTGACCTGAGACTTCCTCCGCCAACTGCCAGGTAGCTCTCCGAGCTGTCTTCAGCATCATCCCCCAGGAGTTTTGCTACTTCCGATGCATGCGAAGATGCTTGCGGACCTAGCTTTCCAAGGCTGAGGGCTGCAGAACAGCGAATTGCCGGATCTGCATCCTTCAGCAACGTGGCAATGTAAGGAGCTCCTGCTTGGGAGTTAAGGACGGGCTCACTGGCAGCTGCCAAAGTGTTCGCAGCAGCTTGTCTTGTCAAGCTGTCCTTGTCCTTGAGGCAGGAGGTGATCTCTTGAATGTACTTTTGCACGACCCCGCTGCCCAGCTTTCCAAGGGCACTGACTGCAGCGAAACGAGTCTTTGGGTCCTGAAGCTTTTTGGCTATGCGTGGGGCTTCTTGCACGCCTTGGGGAAGGTAGCCCAAAGCTTGGCATGCTGCTGCAACAACAGCAGCAGAGTTGTCGTCCAGGTACTTGGCCAGTGTCGTCGCCTCACTCTCGGCACCGACAGCGCCCAAAGCTGCGATGACGGCAGCTTGGGTTGGCTCGTCCAAAGATCGCATCAAGCAGGTTGTCAAGTGGCCCTCGTAGGCAGCAGCTTGCTTTCCGAATTGAGCCAAAGCTGTTGCAGCAGCTTGACAAACCTCTGGGCTTCTGTTCAAGCCTGATGCTATTTGCGTCATGTACTTCATGCCTTCCTGTCCCATGTCACCCAAGGCTGTTATCGCTGCTGCAGCCACCTCATCGTTCCGATCATGGACCATAGTTCCGACTGTGGTGGCATAACCCATGTCTGCAGCTGACTTCTCTCCTCTGCTGCCCAAATCCAGCAGCCACTGCACAAGCTCTTCGGGTTTGTGCGTGTTCTCGGTCCTTTGCAGGGACTGCTCTTTCACGAACCTCGTCAGCTTATCCATGCTCTTGAGGTGAGCGTCCCACCGTCTCCGCTATATACGCATGAGGGCTAGGGCCTGCCTTGAGCCACGAGGCGCGGATGGCGCGGCACTGCAGTCTCGCAAGACAGCTTCGAGTATGCAAGCAGACGATGCAAGTTGCAAAACTTCTCTTCGAGCCTCTTCCAAAGCAAAGGCCTCGCAGTTTCACTAAGATCGGGTGGAAAAGCCAAATTGAAATCTGATCTCCAATTCGAAGGCCTGGTTCTGTGAGAGCGTTGCTGAGAACATGGCTCAGAACGGCTACAATCAGAATGTCTTGTGCTCTCGCGGCGCTCGCGAGGCCTTACAATTACAGCTGTGGGCCTTCATTTGGACTCACACGGCCTGTCACCTGCGACACAAACCCCAACACCCCACTACTCCCAATTACGACAGAGCAAAGGAAGTCAAGGGTCGTGATGCTTCGGATATGCGCAGCTGCTTTCATGCACAAGCACTACCTCTTGCCGACCATGCGACTCACACAGCTCTGCGCGTTTTGTGTGGACCGCAGTGCAACGTCGCAGCTGTATCCATGCGGGAGAGCTGAGCGAGAGGCCTCTGCGGCGAAGAAAGGCAGAGCTCGGACCTTTCAGGCGGGTTTGCCTGACCTCCAGAAGTCTGCTGCTCTGTTCCTGTTGACAGGCCAGAACAGACAAAGCATGAGGAGAAACTGATGATGCCCCTGACCAGGTTTTAAGATTTAACGATCCTGCTAGTCTACCAATGGCAGTACCAATGGCGTTCAGATTCTCCCCATTCCACGATCACCTGTGCACCACGAAATTGCCACTGGCTTCCACAGCATCTTCGCTTTAGGCATTTCTATCTGATTCTCTTACTGGCAAACATCAGCTCGCTGCCAGACCACAAAAAGCGAGCGGCATTTTTGGGGAACAACAGCTTCTGTATCCCCGACGAACCGAAAACGACTGTACAGCGAGGAGCTACTACGACCCTGGCCCAGATTCTGGTGCCTCTGACCCTCTCAGACTGGGCGTAGGGCAGCTCTGGTCGTTATCGCTACACCGCAGCTTGTTGATGCCAGGCCTTGGTGGTTGCACACCGCAGCATTCCAAGAAAGGAGCCCCAAACCCTCTTCCGAGGTGTCGGCAGCTCCTTCAGCTGCTCAGGAATTCGGCCCAATTGCTCCGGCAATCGACGGAACATGTCGCCGACATCTTGTGAGAGTTGAGGATGAGTTGCCCAATAGTGAAGTGCCAGTGGCAAAGCCACCTCAGATCTCAACAGCTTGTCGGAAACAGCAGGCTTTGGCATGGCTCCCATTCTTGCCGAGATGGACACTGTTATCAATGGATAGAGCAGCAGCAGCGCAGACTTCCCTGCTCTTCCGTTCATTCCCCTGCCATGGTGGGGGAGGTCAGCTACCTCCCGCCTCCTGTGCATGTTGCCCCCATGTTTTTCAGACAGGTAGGGAGCTTTCAGATGCATGTGAGTAAAAATGGACATTTCAAAGTGTGATGCGGTCGTGCCTGGGTGGGCAGCATGTGCAAATCAAGAGCCACAGCAGACCTGAACGACAATGACACCAAGACACGCGACATGTCATTACACGGCTGACGTTCGTGCTTGGAAAGCCAATGCTGATGTGCAATGCCTTGCCTAGGTTTGACACCACGGAGTTCAGGGGAGCATACGTCCTCGTCCACATGTTAAGCTCATGTAGATGCGACAGGTGCAGCTGGCTTGTGCCTCGCATGTTGCAAAAGTTACGTGTGGGTATGTATGTAGGCATGTATGTAAGTAAGTAAGAAAGTAAGTAATCAAGCATGCAATTATGCATGCAATTATGCATGCATGCATGTATGTATGTATGTATGTAAATATGTATGTATGCGCATATGTACGTGCGTACGCACATATGTACGACCTATTTGCGACCTTCCTACATACCTACATACATAAATGCATACATCAAGTTTTGACTTGTGCACTCATCCAGAGGCACCTGTTTACAAGATTTTGCAAGGACAGGCAGTCCTGAGAGCAAACAGGGGCACGAGGACGCACAGAATGAAGCCTGTCGCCTCCAAGTTCAGTGGCTTTGGCATTCTTCTACGTTAGCCTGGACTCAGGTGGCGACCATCAAATGCCATGCACGCTTCACCGGTGCCACAACCTCGGCACAAAGGATTGCCAGAGTGTGCATCTCTGGGCCCTACGAGATCTTGACAGACACACCATTGGAGCAGGACGGTTTCATGGACAGCCGTGGTGATGTGTTCTTGGCTCCTGCATTTTTGAACACATGAGGCAAGTCTGTGCCTCTTCCCTCCGGTTGGCTCCTTGCAGCGAAGCTCGCCCCGGTAGAAGCTGCTGCAGCACTTCCGGTCCTTAGCACGGGCTACCGGAAGAAGGTGGCCTCTCTGCTGAGCCTGTTCCTCATTCATGCCTGAGATTTATCCTCTCCTGTTGTGGTGAGCCTTAGCCGAAGACTGCACTACGTTGCCCACTGTGTCCGTCGCAGCTCGTACCAGGTGTGGCACCTTCCAAGCTGCTAACTTGCGACTATCAGAGTTCAACTGCTGCCTACAACATTCTACATCCACTTTTTCGCGTTGCAGGCGGAACCGCGGCACCAAGCGCAGAAATGCAGTACTGCCCCTGCAAGATACCGCTGCTGCTGGCACCCGAGCCGCCCTGCCTGCTCTCGTCCAGTTTGAACTACAGTTGCAGCTCCACGGCCGAGGTCCTTGACGTCATTGCCGACCTAACTCCATTCGGCAAGCTAGTTGAATTGTAGCTACTTGTAGCTGGAGTCAGAAAGTCAAAGAGGCACAGAACACAGAGAGAGAGAGAGAGAGAGAGAGAGAGAGACGAGAGAGACGGAGAGCGTCAGGCGAGTTTTTAGTCCCGTTGCGGGGGGCTCGGGATAAACGAACGAAAGGGTCGGAGACGCACGTCCAAAGCACATGCCTGGACATGCCGATGTGGGTGTTGAAGACTTGGGGTTTTGGGGACGACGTCTGAGAACAGCCTGTGGTGATTAGATGCAACCACTAGCCTCCCACCCTGTTCCATCTTATGGCTCCATTGCACTCGACTCCATTGAAAGGTCCTCAGAGCCTGGACTGAGGGCCCGAGCCTCAACGACCTCGTTCTTCAGCGTGCCAAGTATCTTAGGCAAAGGATGAAAATCATATATCATATATCTGACCATTACGCAATGTTTGCCCGTTGAGGCGGCAACTCCGTGCTTTTTGACACTGTACTTGGTCACGTTGACCTCATCCTGGACGACAGTGCATTGACTCGAATCTTTTCTTCTGCGCTACCGCTGCATCGAACACTCCGTGGCGTAAACTCAGAGGTCCTGGAAATACTCTTGCCACGATCGGACTTCGAAGTATTGCTCTGCAACGACCTGTCATTAAACAAGAAGCGCCCCCCCTGCTGTTGACTCCTCTGCGACGTGTCTTCGCTGGCTAACCAGCGCTACGAATCTCGCAAGTGCCTCGCTACTTTCCAAGGCTGCATTTCCCAGCAGCTCTAGCTCCTGGCATCGCAGTGGCTGCATTTCCAAGGCTTTGGACTTCTGGCCTGCCGGCCGCTCCTCATCACGGCCGTTTTGGCTTTGGAAAAGCTCCTTAACTTCTCGGTATGATTCCTCAGAAGCGACGAGCCTGTTCAAGCTTTGCAGGGACAGATCGAAGCATGCTGCCATGGCTAGCACAAGTAGCACATCGCGTGCCTCAAATACACATCGCAGATGTCTGAAGTCGTCATGCTGCCTCCATTGCACAAGAGCACAAGTCACTTGTTTTAGCCTATCTGACCTTTTCTGTGTGTGGCTAAGCTCCAGGTGCCAGGCCTCCTGCCTGCCGTGCAGCGATCCCTGAGTTGGCGTTCTCTCTCTGTCTCTCTCGCTCTCT